GATAGTGTCAGATGTGTTGACGCGTGCCGTCAGTAAAATCACTGAGCCTAACCCCCAGGAAGGGTCAGGGCTCATGGTTCTGTCAAGGTGAGTCCAGAAAAGACCCCACGGCAGGCGTGAGAAGGGGTCTACTTCACGAAATGACCGGCGCTTAAAAGCTCCAGTTACAAAACGCAAGCAAAAGAGGAAGACGTATCGACAGCAGGGCTCCGATATTTTCTAATCATGTCACTGCTTCACAGTGTAAAACTGGCTGGCTGGTCATATTGTGAAGAAAAATTGGTTGGTTTAACCATATTGTAAGGAGAAACTGTCTTTACTCAGTTATTTTGTCAAGAAGACTCAAAGGTTGTTTTCATCGATAAACTGACGATAATATCTGAGTGTCTGTGTTTCAGTTCAATGAGGAAACCAGTTTGACAATCAAAAGTTTTAATTCTTCAAATTAAACTAATGATTTTGAAATTGACAAACAGGAAATAACAATCAACATTGGCAACTTTGTGGGACAATCTTTAACAGTTGATATGCTGTTCTTGCTCAAATAGACCTTCTGTCGGTGAATGAAGATTGAGAGTGATATGATGTGATTATGGATGCGTGTGTGTGCAAAGTGTTGTGAGAATTGAACATGAGGTGAGATGGATGCGTGTGTGAGTCTGAATTTGCTTCAGGAAGAAACAGGTGTCTGAGTGAAAAGTGATGGTTTGAATAAACTTAGGTTTAGTTGGAAAAGATGCATCAAACGCTATCTGTCGTGTTTTGCCTCACCGAAAATCGGACCCTCTGTTGGACCCGGGACGTCACCTTAGGATGATGTTTCATCCAGGGCACCTTGGCTGGCAAAGAAGACAAAGATGCGCCGCGAACCGGTCCAGAGTTGCCCTCGGTACACGTTGATGGTAAAGCGTTTTGTCGACGCGCTTTCTTAAGTTAATTCACTCAGAAATCAAAGACTCTGTATTGAGTCTGCGTTAGAAGTTGCGATTCAGCTATTCTGCCTGGCTTGGCAGGAACGGCGTGAGAAAAGGGGGGTAAGAAACGAGCCAACCGGCTCTGTCCCCCCCTTCAGGTCCTCTCTGTTTCGTAGTCAAACACGAGCTGAAATCCTAAGACTGAAACTTACCAAAAACCTTTCTCTTCTCAAAGCAAACGTGTGCGTCAGCAAATGTGTTTGGACCTTACTGTGAGAAGAGGTGTGTGGGTGTGTGTGAATGTTTGTGTGCTTGAGTGTGTGAAGGTCAGCAACAAACATCCTCAACACTATCGAATTATGGATTCATTAAGCCATTATAATTACCCCAAAGCATAAGAACCATTCATTTGATTAAACACATTTATAATGAGCAAAATGATAATGGTTACTTTAACATTAAAATCAAGAAACAACGTTTTAAGACTTGTTATGTTATGACTACTTTTATGGGAACAACATCTTCTGTGGGAACAACATCTTCTGGCACGAAGCTGCAGGTGGCAGATGTTATGGTTTCCTCCCAGACTCGCTGGCGTTCAGGTCTTAATCTGTGGGTGAAAGTTCTCAACGACCCAGCTTTGACCCAGCTGAGTCCAACACCACCTTTGTGACAGAAAACCCATATTTCCTCACGTTACAGACCCCCCTTTTGTGACGACATGGTGGTCAATCAGAGGCCACCTGACGTCACAACCTCAATAACATGATGTACTCGTGAAGGTAGACATCCCAGATGAAGGCAGGAACGATGAAGCGTCTCCACAGGTCTCGTGTAGAAGGGAGTCTATCCTGATCAGATGATTAAGGCCAAAACTGTTGCAATCATTGTAAAGTAATCCACTTAGGAAATCTCGAAAGCAGAGCTATTTCAATAGCAGTTAATTTCATCAGCAATAATGCAAAGGTATTCAAAGGATAAGCAGCTCGTGTGTCACACGGAGCTGGGCAGGTGATGTATTCCTCAGGCGTAGTCCAAGTGAAGTCCAGCGCAGACCTCGACCCATCTCGAACCACGACCGAAGCCCCATGCGACAGGAAACCAGCTGAAGGATGGTGAAGACGACCCCTCTGATGGGATGTAGTCCATACGAGCTCGGAGAAGGAGACAAAGTGAGACAGCCCACACGACAGATAGCATTTGATGCAAATCAAAGAAATCAATCAAAACCTATCTATGGGTGCCTCTGGGAAAATATGGATGCCTTTTGTGAATTATCTAAAGAAGAAATGTTCTGCACCCTGCTCTACATGTCATGTAAAAACGTGATGCAGTGAAAACACAAATAAAAGAAAGTAAATCCTAACTGATATGTGAAACTCAGCAGGCTGCACTAATTAAAGGCATATATATAAAAGAAATAATCATGAAAATGAAGGGCAAATTGGCTTGTGGCCCTTTAAGGGAAATAGTAACAAAATAAAATTAAGTTTGTAATCAAACATAATCATGCTACACAAAGCACTAATAAAAAGATAGAGATGTAAATAAGTTCTAAAAATGTAAATCAGCAGGTTAGTAATCCCTAAAAATATGAGTTAGTAACAGGACCCTGGCTGGAGGCAGGTAACCTGAAAAAAAAACTCAAAGGATATCACATTTGTTAAAAATTCATCCCACAAACGAGAGAATTTGTAACGGTCCACCAGTTAGTGGAAAAGAATCCGGTCAGAATAGAGTCGGTCAGAATAGAGTTGTTCAGTAAGCGTTTTGAATCTGGTATTGCGGACCCACAGAGACACGAGTTTGGACGTTCAGGTCTTAATCTGTGGGTGATAGTTCTCAGCGACCCAGCTTTGACCCAGCTGAGTCCAACACCACCTTTGTGACAGAAAACCCATATTTCCTCACGTTACAACAGTAAATCCTCAGAATGCACACTGGGTGAATTGGACCTCTTCAACGTGCCCAGCAGCTGAACCCGATAACACCACCAGCAACAGAAGCTGGTAGGGATCCGGACTTTTTAAAAATCAGCTTTGGTGAAGAAGAAGAATATCATTTCTATAGCGCCTCTCAAGATAAAAATCACGAGGCGCTTCACAAAAACAAAAAATATAAAAATATCAAAAAGAATTTAGAAAATGGTTAAAAATATATTTAAAATGAGCAAAAATAGGCAATTGTGATTAAAAAAATGTTAAGAAAGAGAGAGAGTGAACAGGAAAGAGGGAAATCAGTGGATCCTGAGGAAGGTGGAATAGGTGGGGAGAGCAGACTAAAGAGAGAGAGGTGAAGAAGGTCATACAAAAGCCAGCTTGAACAAGTGAGTCTTCTGCTGCTTTTTAAAGGAGACCACTGAGTCCACTGATCTCAGGCTCAGGGGGAGAGAGGTCCAGAGTCTGGGGGCCACAGCAGCAAATGATCTGTCACCTTTGACCTTTAGCCTGGTGCTGCACAACCAGTAGGCTTTGATCACTGGACCTCAGGGACCTGCTGGGGGTGTAGGGACTAAGAAGATCACCAATGTACGATGGTGCTTGTCCATGTAAGGCCCTATAGACCAGAACCAGGATCTTGAAATGAACCCTGAAGTTGACTGGCAGCCAGTGAAGCTGGAGGAGAAGCGGGGTGATGTGGGTGTGTTTGGAGGACTTGGTCAGAAGCCGAGCACAGGCGTTCTGAACCACCTGTAGACGGTTCAGGGAGGTTCTGCTCAGACACGTGAAAAGAGAGTTACAGTAGTCTAAGCGTGAGGAGATGAAGGTGTGGAGAACTGTCTCAAGTTCAGAGCGGGACAGAATTGGACTCAGCTTAGCAACGTTCCTGAGATGGAAGAAGGAAGAGCCAACAAGAGAACTGACATGAGAATCCAGGGTGAGAGCTGGGTCAAAGGTCACACCAAGATTCCTGACAGAAGGTTTGGTGTGGGAAGCAAGCTGACCAAGAGAGTCTCTGGCTTTGGGAACCAGCTTGTCTGGGGCACAGATGAGGATCTCAGTCTTATCTTCATTCAGCTGAAGAAAGCTCCCACCATCCAGGTTTTGATAGAGTCTAAGCAGGTGTGTAACAGCTGCAGCTTAGACATCTCATGGGGCTTAAAGGAGATGTACAGTTGGATGTCATCTGCATAAAGATGGTAGGAGATTCCTTTGAAGGAGCTCAGGGTGTGCTGAAGAGGAAGCAGATAGAGGAGGAAGAGTAGAGGCCCCAGCACAGAACCTTGTGGGACACCATGGTGCGAAGTGAAACACTGTTTATAACATGAAGTTATAAATCCAGAGGGGTGAATTTAGGCAAAGTCAGCAACATGTTTACATCGGTGAACAGCTGCAGAGAGAACGTAAGCTAACTTTGGTAAGCTAGTTAACATAACACTCTCTATGAGCTCCGCTAGATGCGCTACTTCTTCTGATAACTGAACTGGGCATGAACTAGTTGAAGGAATGCTGGTGGAGTTTAGTTTTTGTTTTGATCGCAAAAACAATTTCAGGCTCTACTTCCCCCTTTGTTTAGTAATTGAGTTGCTCACTGTTTACATGTCATCCACCATGGTGGACCCACGTGATTAGGTGACGTTGGTGCAAAGAATCAATAACAATGTGATGTTTTTTTGTCTTCTTTTTACCTCCGTATTTTATTTTTCTTCTCATTAATTGTTTCAATTTTGTTGTTTCATTATCCGATTTGATTAATGTTTTTGGTCTGACATTAATCCTCTACGAGATTTTGTATTTCGTTCAAACTGTTAATAAAGTTAAATGAAACAACTCGCTAGCCCAAACACACATGTTGCTCAGATTTAGAAGCGATTAAGTGAAAGCAAAACTAAAAACAAAACATAAAAATATTCTGTAGATTATTAGGTATGCCCTGGAAAGACTCGTTGTACTTACGATAAAATTTTTGTTCGTCCTTGGCTAATTTTAACTTCACATTAAAAACAGATAAAAGAGTTAAATCGCCAAATCCTCAACGAGTGTCGTATTTCCATTTGTCCCGGCAGTTCCTGAAGGCAGCATGAAGAGTGATTCACAAACGGCTTCTACGTAAACACGTTACGCTCTCTTCTTACCCACGATGCAGCGCGCGGCCACATACAACATAGCCATCTTGTCAGGACTGACGGGGGAGCGGAGCTGTACGCGCTGTTGGATTATTATTTGTTTAAAGCGTTACATTTGAGGAAAACCCGCCCGTCTCGACCGCAGACAGCGGCAAAGTGCTTGTCACCAACGAATGGCTGGAAACCGGTGAAGTGAGCGGATAGGCGGGCAACGCTTTACTGAAGATGTCACACATACTTGTACCGACGTAGGGGGGAGTGTGCGGCTGCCACTGGGCTCGAATTGTTAGCTAGCTCGGTGAGTGAAGGGGCCTCAGCCTCAAGTAGCTCCTCCAGCCGGGCAGCACACTCAGCGGCAGCGGCCAGTCAACAAGTGGATCACCGAGGTAGCAGCGGGTCTGGCCGGACCAGCCGAGAACTTCGTCCCGGTGGTTTATATCGGTGTCAAGCCCCTCGCTGATCAGGGCACGACGAAGTGTGGCGGTGCTCCGTGCGAGCTCATGAAACGCAACAGGAGACCGAGAGAGGAAGAGGATGGCGCAGATTTATCTCGACTACAGCTAAGTTGAAAGAGCAAAGTAATCTGTTCTAAGCTTATAGAAAGATTCGACCGGAAGCTCGTCTCTTGTTGACGGAGGACAGACAGCCGTACGGGACCGGAGTCGCGCTGTCCAATATGTCGAAGATGCCGGCCAAGAAAAAGAGCTGCTTCCAGATTACAAGCGTGACTCAGGCCCAGGTGGCGGCTATAGGGGCCACGGACGACACGGAGAGCCTGGACGACCCAGACGAGTCACGGACTGAGGACGCTTCGTCGGAGACGTACGACGTGTCCCGGGCGGAGTACGAGCCGGCCTGTGACAGGAGCTCTTCCGAAGAGGCTCTAAATAATGTGGGAGAGGCGGAGGTGGGTGGCGGTGTGGTGCCAGCACCCCACACCAGTCCGTCCGGTCTGGTCGGTAACGCAGAGTTAAGAAAAGTTGGAATATCCGGCTCCAGTCAAAGTGGTCAGCACCCAACCAGTCCCCCCGCCATCACCCAGCACCAACCCCCTCCCCCAGCAACCAGTGCCGGGGTGTCCATGAACACATCCCAGCTAGCTGCAATGACCTCCGCGCCCCCTGCTGCCACCTCCACTGCGAGTTGCTCCTCACGCTTTAGGGTCATTAAACTGGATCATGGTACTGGAGAGCCTTTTCGAAGAGGCAGGTGGACGTGTACAGAGTTTTATGAGAAAGACTCCGAGGCCCCCCATGGTGGCAGGACTGTAGATGGCATAAGACACGCCAGTGTCACGTTGGACCCTGCAGCAGACCGAGACAGTGGACTCGGACCTTTAGGGGGTTCTGTCGTTTCCCCAGCAGCACACTCGGGTCCGGGCCTAGGCTCCATGGTGGAGGCTGCCTCTTTGTCTCGTATTCATCCAGCTGAGGTTCTGCCCCAGCAGCACCAGAGCTACAGCGTCCAGCAACACGGGAGCAGTGGCATGGCCACTCACACTTCCTTCTCCAGTATCAAACCTGCAGCGGTGCCAGCTCAGTCAACAGTGGGGGGTGTCCAGAATGTACTTTCTGTTGGACAAAATGGCCTGTCTCATTCTGATGTCCTCTTACAGAAGTCCCCCGTCATGCCTCCATCATACCCACCTCAGTCGCAGGTTCCTGTGGGACTCCACATGACCAGCCAGTCATTGGGACTGATGCCACACCAGCTGGAGTACTACCAGCAGCAGCAACCTACGTCTGTGCCACCCGGGCTCTCCAGTGGCCAGTCCCTCCCAGTGTCTAGCCTTTCTGCAGGGATTGTTGGACAACCTCCTGCTCCAGTTTTGTCCCCAGCTTCTGGAGCAGTTCCTGTTACAGGTCAGGTTGGAGACGTCACTGGGGCTGCAGGGGGCTCCATCTCTGCAGGGCAGCCAGCTCTTGGTGTCTTACAACAGCAGACTTTAGGGTTTGGAGCTACTGGAGGCTCCATACTGGTTGCTGGATTAACTCTGCCCCAGCAGACCGCTGGTCAGTACGCCGCCACAGGACAACCTCAGCCCCTTGGCCACCCCATGTCTTCTGGTGTGCAGAATGTGCCTGCCATTGCAGTGGGATCTAGCACACCCTCAAGCGTACCCACTGCTGTGCTCAGTGCCTCCAGTGCAGCCATGCCAAATATAACACCTTCCAGTTTGCCTGCTGGTCAGATAACTCCCAACAAGACTCCAGTGGTGTTGGGGGCGCAGAGCCTCCCGGTGGCAGGATTTGGACAGGTGGAAGGTGCTGCTGTTGGAAGGAAGTCTGAGGGAATGCTCGGTGCTCAGTCCCCGGTGGTGTCTGGGAGGGAAACGGTGAAACCCCTCATGCCTGAGACCCTGCACCTCGCCACCCCCACAGTCAACAGCCTTTTTGGAATCCACATACCTGTAGATGGGGAGGATGACAGGTAACCTACATCTGTACCTTTTAGGGAATGTCTTCTGATATTCAATCTCTGCTTTGAAAGGTTTCACACAATTAATTAGAATTCAGTAATTAAATGGAAAATCTTAAATGATAGAAAAGGCTTGTAATTAATAACAGAAAAAGGCCCAGACTGCAGCATGGACGTGTATTATTGACTTAACTTGTTTCATAAGGATTGAGGGAGGAAGTGTGTGACAGAGTAGAAGAAGAGCGTAGTGAAGCACAGGAAGTAAATGGGGGGTTTCCCCTAAATAAAGCACCGTCAGGTCTTTTTAAACGTGTTTCAGAGTGTTGGCATCACTCTGTGGCTTCTTAAGCTCAAGCAGCAACTTGTTTAACACACACACACACACACACACACACACACACACACACACACACACACACACACACACACACACACACACACACACACGTCTGTCTTTCTATCATAGTGAGGACCCTCCATTGACTTCCATTCATTTTTGTGATTTCACCATGCCTTAATAGGGATGGGTACCTTTGACATTTGAATCGATTCGGTACTAATTCCCGGTACCTAGGAATCGATACCGGTACTTAACGGTACCAATTTTCGATACTTTTGAGTGTTTATTATTTTAATTCTCTTTCATAATTAAATATATATTTTTCTCAATTTATAACCATATTTGATAAATATCACGATAACTAACATTCAACTGTTTGTATTTTAACATCGTCCTTGTAGTTTTATAAGCTGATAATTAAACTGAAGCAAACATCTTTACTGTGAACTAAATTTACTGTGTATCTTCATTCCTTTTGCCGTCTTTGTTCATTTGATTTTTCCTACTGGGAAGTTAGAATTTCCCAGGAGAAAGCGAACGCACCATTAGCTGATAACAACGGTGGCAATGGAAGCTAACATATCAAGCTAACGTTATCTTAAACAGTTTATTTAGCTGCTGGAGCAGATTAAAACGATGATGCCTCACACTTAGATCGTTGTCGCTGGTTTCATCTTCACCCAATCACCCGTCGCATTTAGTAAAGTGAAGCCAAACTTTAGAGCGCGTTCATGTTCTTCTAGTCGGAGATTCGGAGTTCCGAGGAGAATGCGAACGCACCATTAGCGGAACGGAAGCTAGCATATCAAGCTAACGTTATCTTAAACATTTTATTTACCTACCGGAGCAGATTAAGATGAGGATGTCTCACTTAGATCGTTGTCGCTGGTTTCATCATCACCCAGTTACCCATCACATGTAGTGAAGTGGACCCAAGCTTTAGCGTGTTCTTTCTACCATGCTGCTCTGTTTACAACTGGCTCGCAGCGACCGATGACATAACGCTCTTGCGCATGCGCAGCTGTCTAGTTCTCGTTATGAAGGACGGGTACCGAAACGAGGCACCGTTTGAAACGTGAATCGGTGCTCAGTCGTTACCTTAAAAAGTACCGAATTCGGTGCCCATTCCTACTAACCCATACCCTAACCATAACCAACGCTGATCTATTCCTAACCTTAACTAAAACTTAATTCACACCACACCTCTAACTGGTATAGTAAGCTTCTGGTATGCTTCTAAAAAAGGTGAGGACCAAAAAAATGTCCTCACTTTGTAGTGAAAATGGTCAAAATGGTCCTCAGTATGTAGTATGTACAAGAACACACACGCACGCACGCACGCACGCACGCACGCACGCACGCACACACACACACACACACACACACACACACTTTGATGTGCAGGTGCTTGTTCAGACCTCTCCGGTAGCTGTCACCCATCAGAAGCTCCTCTGTGAAACCCACTCAGACCTTTTCTAAACACAATCAGGAAGCAGACACGTTTACCTTTCATATGGGGGTGTTGACGTGACCATATCATTGTCTCATTGTCAATAAAACAGAATTAGGTCAGACCCTTTCCAGCTGATGCTGTGTGTTTAGGTCCTACAGTAGTATTCCCACACTGGCCATTTTCAGTGTTGTTATGCTGAAAAACGATTAAACCCTTATGTAATTCGCTCTGGAACAGTGGCATTATGTGTCAGGGCTGCAGACTATTGTGGCGTGTTGTAAAGAAGATTATGTTACTGGTGGTAGAGCCACATTTCCTCACTTCTCTCACGATGATTACAACACACTTGATGGGCTCCTGGAGCAGAGACGCACTGATTCAGGCGCCGAGGGCCGATGCCCATTTCTGATTAAGCAATGCAGATTCTGACCAATTCAAATAGATCTTGAAGCACTTTAATTTACCTGTTATTTATTCATGGATTTTTAACAAGAACCTTGTGTAAAATATGTTACTAGACAAACTGTAAAAAAAAAAATAAAAATAAGTTGCATGGCTGTAGTAGGTCTACACTCAAGAGGGAAGAATCAGAGCTTTGACTTTTAGATTAATCAAAAATTGCTCTGATGTACCTTAGGACAGGTGATTTAGAGGCAGGCACATCCCTGGGCAGCCCGATGCTGCTGCAGGAACTAATTTAAAGGTGTGGAACACTTGAGCCGGCGACCCTTTACTGGGTTAATGAAAAGTCACCCAGCCCCCTCTGGCCAGAATACCTCATTTGCAACTTCAGAGTATCCAGACGGCTCTCTAAAGTCCCATATGCGTGAAGCGGCAATCCATGTTTACACCTCAGAACAGACTAGCTATACCTGGCTAGCATTTATTCTAACACATTTACATTGGTGGACCCTCAGAAGAGACCAAACAGTTCTAGGTACAGTGGGTTGTTCTAGTAATCAGAAGGTTGCAGGTTCAATCCTGACTCACACCAGAAAATGCTGCAGTTGTGTCCTTAGGCAAGACACTATTAACCTGCCTTTCCTGCTAGTGGCGGTCAGAAGGACCGGTGGACCCGTGTTCGGCAGTCTCGCTACCGTCGGTGCGCCCCAGGGCAGCTGTGGCTACATTGTAGCTCATCTTTAGGGATGTCACGGTAACCGGCGTAGTGGTGAACCCTGGTAAAAATGTTGTCAATAATAATAACCGTTTTGTTTTTTAAAAGATATAATATCCCGGTGGGTTACCGTAGGAGCGGTGACCCTTAAGCCTGGTTCATGCTTCTCCGTCAGCTCCGCGAGGGACAGACACGCACGGATTGACGGAGACGTTTTTCTCTCATACTTCTCCGTCTCCTGGAGAGTGTTGCAAAACAATTGCCCGGCAGGACAACAGAGGGCGTAGCGCTGTTCTGTGGTATCCTGTCATGTATCGGTCCAAGATAGTGTGTTTATATTGTGTTTTTTGTGTATATAAGAGACTTTTTAACGCGGACATATTTGTCTCTCATCCTCCCACCTCTTCATGCGCTCGCCACCTCTAAACCCACGTTTCCTGTCATTTCCATCCACAAATAAAACGCTTGCTGCGCATCTTTTCACTCATTTAGTCACGGGAGAATTAAACGTTCATATATTTAGTTTTTTCGCGAGGTATTCTTCAAGCTTCTCCGTGTCTGCCGCCAGTTATCCTCGGCTTTCTTTGCAATGGCGGCGCTAGGGCTGGGCGATATGGACCAAAACTTATATCTCGATATCTTTAAGCTGAATTCCGATATACGAGATATATCTCGATATTTTTCCTCCTGTAAACTGTTGACAAGTTAACTCACTTCAAGCTCTTGAGAAATTATAAACATAAATCGGTAGGTTAAATGCATAAAAATGTATTGATTCTTGTCAAACTTTAACCGTAGTGCCTATTCTCTACCAGTCTGAGCTTTAGTAACACAGGTACAGCTGTCTGCTAACACACACACACACACACACACACACACACACACACACACACACACACACACACACACACACACACACACACACACACACACACACACACACACACACACACACACACACACAGTTGAGAGCCAGAGGTGTATCAAATGTCCCACAGGCACTTTTTAATTATATATTTATAATTAATGTAAAATTATTTAAATTACATCTAGAGGTGGCCCATATTGTATAGGTCTTGTCCAGAGAAAAAACATCCATCATGTTAAGCTAAATGTACGATGATGTAATTGCATCTACTGAAGATCACATGGGTCATGCACCATGGAGTTATTAATTAGAAAAACTAGTTATTAACTAGTTGTTAGTTATTAGTTAGCAGTGTTGGCTCATATCAGCGATTATACTGTAATGACTCAGAGTCTCTGGTTGCTCTTTAATGAGTGTTATTTTCGGGCTACTGTCGCCATAACCCACACCTTACAAACTCAACTTTTTCATCGGAATCACTCGTAACGGAGTATTTACTAGCATAGCAAACCAGAGCGGAAAAAACGGAACCGGAACAACATTTCTCACCCGTTGAGTTCGCCTTCAAAATAAAACGGTAACCCTATAGTTTACTATTCAAGCCCTTACAATATATTTCAGGTCATTTGGCCACTCCGGCTTTCCGTAGCCGTTTCCTCATTACACAGGGGAGGGGGGGTTTGGCTCGTCTCTCCGCACAAGCAGGATGGAAAACAGAACTCCGTTGGCATTGAACGTCCCCAAATAATTAAAAACCAGGAGGCCAAATGCAAAGTTTAGAGCAGCACATTTACCCAGAGGCTCTCAGACTGAGCAAACGTGAGAATACACGTAATAGCCGCTTAGAGATGGAGCAACATGTCGCTAGCATAGCGGCTAATCGCTAGCATAGCAGTTTGGCCAGTTATATTGATATAAAGATATAAAGTCATCTTATATCTTGTTTAGAAATTATACCGATATTTAAAGAATATCGATATATCGCCCAGCCCTAGGCGGCGCTGTAAACAACAGCGGCGTCCTGACCAATCACAAGCTTGCGTAATCCGTCTCGTTCGACGGACGTTTAAAAAAGTGGGCTCGACTCCGTACGTACTTGCGTGCCTGCCGGAGCCCTACGCGAGGACGGATAATGGCGTTGCGCGTCTCTGCACTGACGCAGACGGAGAAGCATAAATCAGGCTTTAGGCCTGATTTATGCTTCTCCGTGAGCTCCACAACGGAGAGGCACACA